GGCTCCGGAGTCCAATATCCAATAATGGTTAAAAGGCGTATCCGAGACATTTAATCCAAAAGAAGGTGGAAACTTACCCGAGTATGCCAAAGAACACATACCTGTAGGTTTTTCCAGCTTACTAAGAATGGTTTTCACCCTTTCTATCTCCTCTTCCCTTGACATTATAGCAAAAAGGTGCGATGCAACAACAATGCAGTCGTCGTCTTAGGATTATGAAAAATGCAGCAGCAATGCAGAGTCGTCGTCTTAGGATTAAGAAAAATGCAGCAGCAATGTAGGCTGCCGTCTTAGGGTTAAGAAAAATGCAGCAGCAATGTAGGTTGCCGTCTTAGGGTTACAAAATATGCAGCAGCAATGCAGGCTGCCGTCTTAGGGTTTATCGAGCGCAGACAGAGCTTCCTAGATCGGAAGCTCTGATACCATATGAGAAAAATAGATTAACTGAAATATGATATTTTATTATATCAATACAAAGAGATGATATAAGATATATACAAGAGACCTAAACTATTTTAGGAAATATAATAACTCTATTTTATGCTAGGATCCCTTGATTTATGAGATTGTTCCTAATTATTCAAATCTGTACAGATTACAAGAAAATATACAAATTTCCTTATTTATTCTTTCCTAAAATACTATTTGATTTCTCACATGAACTTATAACAGAAAAATAATAAAATAACATGTTTATTTTAACACTGCTCCTGAAGTTGGATCATATAGATTATATGCAGCTTGGAACAAATAAAATGCATCCTTGGTCCTCTTAGACATTTAACCTATAGATAGGCAAGGAAAAAATGAGGGGCTCTGGAAAGTTTATTATAGAAGAAAAAAATTAAAGGAAGCCGTGGAAAAGTTAGTGGGTGCGGTGCTGTCAGTTGAGAGTGGGTCTATATAATTAGACTAATTTGATCCTTTTAGGGACACGTCTTTTTAGAAATTGGAAACGAGTGTTAGCTCGTGTGAAAGGAGAGAGCTCCTTTATATGCATTTTTTCTGTTATTTTTTTTTTCCAGCAATAAAGAACGTTTCTTTTTTCTTTTGTTCAAGTATCCTATCATAGGCATTCCATTAATGGATATTGTGTTTTCATTGAAAGCAATATTATTTCTTGAAAAAGCAAGAAACAAAATGTGGTAATGTTGAAACTGAGTGTAGGGGGATGACATTTCTTACTTGTGAACATAAATGGATTAAACAATTACTTAAGAGCTTAAGTTTTGTGAAATTCAACAAATGAGAAATGTACTGTGATAATCCGATAGCTATTCACATTGCTTCCATTCTTGTTATGTTGTTTGAGAGAGCTACTGAACAAGGAAATTTGAATAATTTTTCAACTTCAATTATCTAGTTGGAGATATTTTAACTAAATCTTTGAAAACCTCAAATTCAAGTTATATGTTCCATGTTGTGTACATATAGTCTATTTGCTCCCGTTTGATGGGAAGTGTTAGAATAGGTTATTTTGCTAGATAACTTGGTGAGATATATTTACTGAAAGTTGTTTTTTATTAGCTACTATCATACGTACTTTAACCTATAAATGGGGATCGGCTAAGAAATAATTAATCTCTTAAGCTCCTTTATCATATTTTTCAGTCTTAATTATAGGATATAAATAGGGTGCAAACTTCATCTTATAAGCTGTTTTTGTAGGGTTGAAGTAGGCCCAAATCTATTTTCTAATAACTTTACTTGAAATAGATAATAGGAAAATAAGAGATATTTTTGAGAGCATGAAACTTTTCTCTATGTTCTCTTATTTATAGGAGATAAAGATACAGATTCTGAGATACAATAAATAGGGGAAAATGATTAAACTTAGAGAAGATAAACAGATACATTCTAGGAACTAGGTCAATACTTAGATACAACTAATCTTAATAAATACTCAACACTCTCCTTCAAGGTGGAGCATACAAATTATATGTATCAAGCTTGAAACAAATGAATTCCATTTGAGGCCCTCTCAAAGATTTTGTTAATGCATCTGCAAGCTGATCATTGGAACCAACAAACTCAGTACAAATTTCTTTAGACAACAACTTCTCCCGAACAAAGTAACAGTCAATCTCAATATGCTTAGTCCTCTCATGAAATACTAGGTTGGAAGCAATGTAGAGAGCAGCTTGATTATCACAATACATCTTCATAGTTGAATCTCACAGAAGTTCAATTCTTGCAAGACCTGTTTTACCCATACAAGTTCACAAGTGAGAGATACCATTGCCTTATATTCAGCTTCAACAGAGGATCGGGCAACAACATTTTGCTTTTTGTTTTTCCATGAAATGATATTACTTCCAAGAAAAACACAGTAGCATGTAGTGGATCGCCTGTCCATAGGAGATCTAGCCTAGTCAACATCATAGCATCCAAAAATTTGGGTTCCCCTTATCTTCATATAACAAATCTTGTCCTAGAGCTTTTTTAATGTATCTTAGGATTCGAATAATAGCATTCCAATGATCAACACAAGGGGCTTGCATAAATTGGCTGACAACACCAACTGCAAACGACAAATCAGGTCTAGTAATAGTTAGATAGATAAGTTTCCCAACCAGTCTTCTATATTTTTTCTGGGTCAAAGAAAACTTCACCTTGTCCTGCCATTAATTTTAAATTTGGATCCATAGGACTGTCCACAGGTTTGCAATCAATCATACTTGTCTCTTTTTGAATATCTAGAGCATATTTTCTTTGAGAAATGACAACACCTTCTATTGATTGAGCCACTTCAAGGGGTGTCTGGTTTGGTTTGTAAATTACGTTAATCTCTCTATGGCCTAAAACTGTCTCCACATGCTTGGATTGGAAAATTCAGCTCTATTGTTCAAGTTTTTGGATTAAAACGAAGTGAAGTAGATCATTCGGTGTTTTATTGTCACACTGCCCCTGGCAAACATGTTTATTTAATTGTGTACGTTGATGATATTGTCATCACAGGGAATGATGTTGCTAGAATATCTTGGCTAAAAGAGCACTTGTGTAGTCATTTTCAGACCAAGGATCTTGGAAATCTAAAATATTTTTTAGGTATTGAAGTGGCTCAATCAATAGAAGGTATTGTCATATCAGGATAGCCATGCAGGGCAAAACAATTTTCCTTAGTATGATCCATTCTTTTGCAATGAGTGCACTGAGGACGTCCTCTACCACCATGTCCTGTATTGCCATGATTACCTCTTTTACGAGCAGAAATCATGGCGGAAGATTCAGCAAGTTCTTGACTATTTTTACCTTTGATCAAACTCTCCATAGAAGGAACTTCATGTCCAGTTAAAATTTGATCTCTAACATGATTAAATTCTGGATTCATAGCTCTAAGAATCATAACCATATAGAATTTATCCAGCTTCGTCTTTTTCTGCTCTAATGAATCTGCCTCAAGGAACATTTTTAATTCTTCAACTGCTGATTGGACTTCAGCAACAAAGGATATCATATTGTTATCCTCTTGCTTAAGGGATGCTAGTCTATTAGCAGTATCATAGAGCCGTTGAATATCATTAGCGAAGATATTTTGGACCTTTTTCTAGAAGGAATTACATGTCTTGAAGGAACGGATAGTGCTCAAAATATTTGGTTCAACTGATTGCCATAATAGAGCACAAAGTTCATAATCAAGTTTCTTCCATTGAGAAGCCTAATCTGTTGGTTTTGTACTTCCATCATCTTCTAGTGATCATGAACCCCTTGTCCTAGAAACCAGAGTTCAACAAAGGAGGCCCAAGGCAAGTAATTTTTTCCATTTAATTTTTTTGTTGTTATAGTAGGAGTCCCAGAAAAAGATACAGATGTTGCAGGTCCTGACATTTTTATTCAAGAACCAAGAGAGAACTCTTAAGGAAAAATATTCAGCAGGATGTTTGGAGAGAGAAGACCGAGAACAATGAGAGAGTACCAAGAAATAGTGTCGCTTTGCTTGAACACAGAACAACCAGCGTTTTGTGAACATAAAACAAAGGGTAGATCCGACTTCAGGACGACAAGGCGAACCAGATGGCGGTGGTCTGGAGCGAAATGACCACCGGGAAGGCGGCGTGTGAACTACATGCATGGAGAAGCAACGGACAAAGGTGGCGTGTGGCGGCGTGTCTAACAGAGATTGCTGAAGTGACCACCGAGGTTGGGTCACGCTCCTCGAGGCGATCCTAACCCAATAACGGCTAGTGAAACGACGCCAGGGGACGGCGGCGTCAGCAGCAAACGGCGGTGTACGATGGAGAAAAAGGAGAGACAGGCAGAGCGGGACGAACTCGCTCTAATACCAACTTGAAATAGATAATAGGAAAGTAAAAGATATTTTTGAGAGCTTGAAACTTTTCTCTTGTGTTCTCTTATTTATAGGAGATAAAGATACAGATTCTAAGATACAATAAATAGGGGAAATGATTAAACCTAGAGAAGATAAACAAATACATTCTAGGAACTAGGTCAATAGTTAGATACAACTAATCTAATACATACTTAACAACTTTAAAAGTAATTCTTCTAAAATGTAAATTAATGTGCCCTCTACATTGTGCATAAACTCAATTTTTAATAAAATGAATGGCAATGACATTTGCTTTAAAGCAAAAGCCAATAGGTAAGAACTCATGAAGAGGGTTATATAGTTTTTGGTCAAGTGGTAAGCACTTGATCCAATAATTGGTATCAAAGCTAAGTCTCAAGTTTGTTTCTTGGTGGGAAAATTGTTGAGAGAGAGATTATTGTGAGTTGCATCAATTATCCCTTGGCGGAAGTCATGTTTACAATAAGCTATAACTTTTGGTCTAGTGGTAAATACTTGATCCAACATATTTCTTTTGGAAGGCCTATAATTGCTTGCTTCCACTTGGACAATACTAACTTTTCATATGAAGTATATAATTCTCTCTTCTATATTCAATTTAACTGACTAATATTTTAACTTTGTTGTACAAATGGTGATTGCCTGTATCCATGCAAATACTAAGCTACCATTGTCAAGTTTGTAATTGATCATGTCAAGCTATGAGCTTATGCCCACTGCTTTGTGTCCTGATGGGAAAACTCCGTAGGCTATTTGTTTACCTCGCCGATCATTAATGTTCTGTCACAGATATGAATTTTATAATTTTGTATCCATCTTAGGTGAATTACAATCTCTTACAGTGTGTAATTTGTAAAATGTTGTGTTCATTTTAGGGATGGAACATCAATCGTGCTTTCAGATGATGTTGGCCAAATATATTTTCTGAACACAGGTCAAGGCGAGTCCCAAAAAGATGCAAAATATGATCAGGTGGTCAAATATTCCAATATTGCTTCCTCTACTTTGATTTTTTCTAAATCAATATAAGCTTCGTAGCAAGTAAATTTATGTATATCTCTTTGATTTTTGTTGCAGTTTTTTCTTGGTGATTATCGGCCCCTTATTCAGGATACTCAAGGAAATGTTCTTGATCAGGTTGATAGTCCTTGTGCTCCTGTACTTTGCTGATTGTCATCATGATTGCCTTGATAAGATCGTTGAAATACTCTTTCCCATATCCATCTAACCTGTCACATCTGATGCAGGAGACTCAACTTCCACCACACCGAAGAAACATTCAGGAACCTCTGTGTGATTCTAGTATGCTATTTTTTTATTCTAGTATGTTAAGGCTCTTTGAAATTTTTATATTAATAGGATGCTAATTTCTTACATTTTTTCTTTTATCACCAGGTATGGTGCCATATCCAGAACCTTATCAGAGTCAATTTCAGCAACGTCGACTTGGTGCTCTTGGCATTGAATGGCGCCCTTCACTGATAAAATATGCTGTTGGCCCAGATTTTAGTATTGGTCAAGGTCAAGACTACCCAGTGATACCTCTGGTAGATTTGGAAGGAATGGTTGAGCCCCAGCCAGATTTCTTAGATGCTATGTTATGGGAACCAGAATATGACATTATTGTAAGTGAAGATACTGACTCTGAATACAATGTGAACGAAGATAGTTCTAGTGCTGCTGGGCAAGGCAGTGTTATATCTTCTAGTGATCTAGAATGCAGTGATGACTCTAGTAATAGGGACGGCCTTAGAAGATCAAGAAGGAAAAAACATAAAGTTGGAGTAAGTGTCTTATTTTCTGTTGGATCAATAATTAATTTCAAATTGTTATCTAATCATAATGTTTCTCAGGTTGAGGTAACTTCCTCAGGAAGGCGTGTTAGGAAAAGGAATTTGGATGAGTGTAATGGTAATACTTCTGGAAGTAACAGACTCTGCAAGAAATCCAAGGGCAGCTCAAAATCATCAAAAATGAAATCGTCAAAATCTAAGACATCGAGACCCCAAAGAGTTGCTGCACATAATGCTCGCCACATGTTCTCTCAAATTGATGAAACATCTACTGATGGGGAAGATAATGATTCCTCCGACAGTGAATCATCAGACAGTTTCCAAGATCCAGACGATCTTAGTGAACCTGAGAGGGAAATTGATGAGAAGCGTGATGAATTTAAAAAACCTCTTCTAGGAAAGTTTGCGAATGTGTCCAAGCCTCCTGCATGCTCTGAGTCCCAAACAAATGTTGAAACTAGACCAAGATTGGTACTTAAGTTTTCCCTTCGTGATTCTAAAAAGAATGTGCCCTCAGATGACACAAGACTTACCCGGGAAACTCAGGATAATATGCTGTGTCAGTTTTCTAGACCTCAACCCAAAGAAAGCGATCAAACAAATTTTATGGACTCAAAATCTTTGGATCCTGTGCTGTCTTCTATGAGTGCAACTAATGCGGAGCTTCCTCAAAGCCACGATGAAAATGATGATAAAAGTCAAACTGACAATGCTACAAATAATCTTAATGCTTCCAGATATGTTGAGGCAAACACAGATGAGTGCAGAAAGATAGAGAGACACACACATGAACTTCCAAGATATGGGGATGCTTTGCTTACTGATGCTGGAAATGATGACCATCTTGAACACAATGCCAATGGGTAAGCAAAGCCTTAGATGAATGTTAAAACAATGTTTATGATACTGCTTCATTTTCTATATTTGGTAATTTCCTCAGAATCCGATGTTTTTCTCTACCATGTTTTGCAGGAGATCAGAACATATGATCGGCAAGTTAGACACTGTCCGTAGAATGATTAATACAGAGCTGACTGATTTTGATGATGCACTTAAATTTTCCTCATTTGAACCTTTGTTGTCTGGAAATGCTCAGCCAAATGAAATCTGTGACCTCAAAATGAAAGCACCTGTGAAATCAACAAAGCTAGTTATTAAAAAGAAACATATTTCAGCTGACACTGAAGGTCCTTGCAAACTGAAATTTGTTAGCTCTAAGGCAGATTCAACTGGTACGAGAGGTATTGTTATATCTGGAAATTCTTCTATTATGGGGCCTAATCTAACACCAGAAAGTGAAGATGGCAGAAAATTTAGCACTCCACAGCTACTACATTCATATTCTGACAAGAGAAGTTATGATCACGCCGATGAAAGGGATATGTCACGTAAAGGGAAAGCCAATCAGGATGGTTTTCAATATTCTGATTATGATATAGAAGAGCATAATTCTGTTTTGAGCAACCGACATGGTTTAGCAATTGGTTTGTCTGATGTTCTAAGTGATCCTAATGTTCGACGAACACGATCTATAAGGATGAAGTCAACTTCTGAGGAGCCAAGCACTTCAAACACAAAGATTAAAATTCGTGGGAGTCAAAGTTCCAGGGGTAAATCTGATTGGGAAGACTCTTCTATCAAAGTGTCTGATCAACTTCATCGAAAAGCTAGGACTTCCAGACACAGGCGTGATGAAGATATTTCCAGTAATCCTGGTGGTACTTTAACTCGAAGGGTGTCAAATCACCATGTCAAAAATTCGTCATGGCTGATGCTGTCTAAGCATGAAGATGGTTACAGATATATTCCTCAACTTGGTGATGAAGTTGTGTACTTGAGACAGGTATTTTAAGTTATGATTTTTTTGGTTATGATTTGTAATACTTCATAGTTTGTTTTGGAAGTCAAGTTTCCCTAATCTGTTTCCTAGTATATGCTCTTATCCTTATTTGGTTGGTTTTGTAATCTGATTCCCAATTCATCTTCTTGATATTTGATTGCCAGGGCCATCATGAGTACATAGAGTCGCGTTCATCATCTGAACCAGGTCCATGGAGATCATTTACAGGACTAGGTGTTTCTGAAATTTGCAAGGTTGAAGTGCTTGAGTATGCGGAGCTCCCAGGCTCTGGGGATAGCTGTTGTAAACTTAAACTAAAATTTGTGGATCCTTCTTCATATGTGCATGGCAAATTGTTTAAATTAACTCTACCAGAATTGCTTGACTTCTCTGATTTTGTTGTTGAGAAAACATGGTACGATACTGCCATGAAGAGAAATTGGTCTTCAAGAGATAAATGCAAGGTCTGGTGGAGAAATCCAGACGGGGATGGTGGAAACTGGTGGGCTGGTAGAATTATTTCAGTGCAGGCCAAATCTCATGACTTCCCTGACAGTCCTTGGGAAAGGTATCTGATCCAATACAAGAATGATCCAACCGAAAATCATCTGCATAGTCCATGGGAACTACATGATCCTGATCCTGAGATTCAATGGAAACATCCCCACATTGACCATGCAATCAGAGATAAACTGCTTTCCTATTTCACTAAATTAGACCGCAGGGTAAGTAGATATAAAACTTTGTTATTCTGTGTTTCCCTGAATTCGACTTATTGGGGGTTGCACGTTTCTCATTGTGTTTGTATTTTCATCAATCCAGGAGAAATTTGATATCCAAGCATTGAATAAAGTAGCTGACAAATTAGAGTTTGCAAACAGGTACTAAAATTTCTGTCTAGAAAAGCATAGAGGATTGATGTGCCTGTCATTTTGTATTCGATATTGTTCTAGCAATTAAGTAAACAAAATGTGTGTGAAAATGTCAGAGAAAGCAACAAGTTAAACATGTGACTTCAATAATGTCATTTTTGGATTTGTATGACAGGTTTCCTGTCCCACTCTATCCTGAACTGATTCAGTCAAGGTTGGAGCATGACTACTATCGTAGTGTGGAAGGTGTCAAGCATGATATAATGGTAATGTTATCCAATGCCGAAGACTTCTTTACAATTACAAAAAATGTGCAGCTAATGGGCAAGATCAGGAGAATATCTGATTGGTTTAGAAAGAAACTTGAAAGGATATAGAAGGGCCCAAATTGGGTTTTATAGGTTTCTTCTAACATTGTTTTTTATTCTTTAATCCAATTTTGGAGTATTAGTTGGTATTTAAGTTGGTTTTATAGAATGAGGCCATAGGTGGTGGGTAAATATCAGCTATCACGTGTATATACAGACGAACTCATCCATTTTAATGCCAATTGTCGCGATGAAGCATCTTCGGCTTTGTAACTTTGATTTCGAATTTAAATTTTTTGATGGTCTTGCCTAGGCCTCCTCTAAAGCTGAGTTTAAGTTTGAATATAAAGTAGTCTAGAAGCAATAAAACCTTTAAATTCCTACTTTTCAACCTGCATCATTCTAAATGTGTATATCCCGAACACATTTCCTAGAAAGCTTACATTGGGAACGAGATTCCCTGATTCTTGCATTTCTGAGAACAAATTTAACTATAAATAACAATTAATTTATGAAAATTATTTACAATCTTTTCAATGTTTTCCAAATAAATGATATGATGTACGTTAATATTAATTTTAAAATAATTTATTATACATTAATTATTAAATAATTTGAATTCATTTATTATTTGATTGACTCTTTTCAAAAGTCATATAAATTATCAATAGAATGATTTGATATTTACAAATACTTTCAATAATTAATAAAAAATATTTAAGGGTCTCTGTCAAACTATAAAAAATGTTGTTTCAAAGTATTCAATAGAATGTTTTACAAATGCTTAATGAATGTTGCAGGATACATTGTATATTGTAACCTGCACACACAAAAATAGTAGTTAAATTTGAACTTATTCAAAGTTTTTCTCTGTCATGGGGTACATTGTAAAACAATGTATCCTGCAATAATTTTTACATGTCAAAACTATAAAAAATGTTGTTTCAAAGTAGACTCAACGATATAGAATTATATTTCTAATTTTGAAATAAAAATGAGGAATTAAAAAAAATCATCATTGTGAAATTATTTTCATGCGCGCATAATAAAATCGCTTTCGAAGATTTTTTTTTTAAATGTGAAATAAATAAATATAAATATAATAACTTCAATTTTTACTATTCAACTCCAAGTGAGTAGTAATATAAGATACAACATAAAATGCATGTTATCCAATTTCTAAATTTCATTTTATATAAGATATGCTAGTTTGTATAATAGAATAAATTATTATTTAATTTTGAAATATTTTGAAAAATTGTATTTTTTGAGTGAGAATAGAAAAATATTGTCACCTTCAATAAAAGATTTTTTTTTCATAAAAATTATAACGCTCTCAAACTTTTGTTGGTAATTGATTATAAGTCATGTAGAAAAATTAAATAGGTATTTACAAACCACATTTTAATTTTTATTGTAATACTCACTTTTTGTTCTTAATATGTATTACAAAATTATTTCTTTGTAAAAGATGTAGTTAACACCATGATTATGCTGAATTATTGCAACACATATTTTAAAAATTACATATTTCATTAATATCTTTTTTTATAAAAGTATTAATCTTATTTTAGTAATTGTTACACATTAATTTTTATATTTTGAGTACAATATCCAAACTTTTAGTCTAATGAATGTTGCAGGATAGTACATTGTAACCCGCACACACATAAAAAGTAGTTAAATTTGAACTCATTCAAAGTTTTTCTCTGTCGTGGGGGTGCATAAGTTAAATTTCAATTTCTTATTGTTCAGTATATACATGAGCACAAATATAATCTGAAACAACTTATTCCACAACAATAAATTTGGACTTCTACATATCCTATAGAAAGACTTGTACATTGTCATTGTGTCAAACTCTACCATTTATATATGTGATTGCTTTAAGTAAATCCTCTTTGTTAATTGGCTTCAACATATGATAGTCCATTCCACTCTTTATGGTTATTCTTTCGGTCCCAGATGTCAATGCAATGATAGGAATGTGAACACCATACGCTTTCTCTATCTTTCGTATCCACTTTGTTGCCTCAAGCCCATCCATTACTGGCATCTGCTAAATCAATTGTGTTCAAGAGTTATGAGTAATAGAATGGTTATTATTCAAAGTTGTTCCAACATAACGAGAGCATAGAAAGAAGAAACCATGGTCCCTAGTGATTACCTGACAGTCCATTAAGATGTAATCATAAGGAGGATTAGGGAACTCCCGAGGTAGACCCTCATCAACTAGCCTCACAGCTTGTTCACCATTTTCACATTGCTCCATGCTTGCACCAAGAGAAATCAAAGTAACTGAAGCTATCTTTCGTAGCAATGCACTGTCATCAGCAACCAAAAACTTCTTACCACTCAAGGGTTTGTGACACCCTGATGAGTTTTCACACTCTTGGATTTCTCCTTGATGAACAAGAGTTAGTTTTGTCTTGGATGGTCGTTTACCCTTCAAAATTTGTTCAGCACTTTGGAATGTGTTTTCATCAGTTGAAGACATTTGTGATCTGTCCAGCAGAGGAGACGTGTATTTTAACAAACCTGGATCCTTGTAAGTCTTCAATTTAGCTCTCTCATTAGTCCTTTCTCTATTAGCTCTATGGGAATTGCTTTGCCAATCACTACCAAATTCAGGAAGGAGCTTTATGGTTTGGAACAAACGAGTACCATGAAATGGTTTGGAAGTGACAATGTCATCTTGATTGAGGGCCTTGAAGTTGATTCTACGCATAAAGGGCTTATTTAGCCACACAACCTTACAAGGGTTGCGAAGGTCTTTCTTGAAGCTGGATACAATCATGTAAAGCTCAGAAAATGATCCTGCATTTGCATCAATCACAATAAGGATGAAGCCGGGGGATGCTCCAATATCAGTTTTCTTGAAAACTAAAGGCATGTTATGCTCAGTTCCATCCATAGAACTCAGTGGAACTCTTGTGGATATGTCAAGTGAACTATGAGGTGTAGACCAATAACTCAAATCTGAAGACCCTGGAGAATTTTGGCCACTAGAATGCTTAGCCTTCTGTTTGATCTTCCTGAGAGTATAAAACAGATGTTTCCCAGTATTCACAACTTTAACTTTGATCCCTAACCTCTCCATGAACCTTTGTGAAGTCCTTTGGCGCTCCTCGTCAACAATCAAAAGAACCACTAGGGAAGCCTCAGACTTAGGACTAGAGCTGCAAATACGTAACCTAGGACTCATGGAACAAATTCTAGAAGAACCAGAACTTGAAGCATGCACGGTTTGCCCCTGAGCTTGCATTCCATCTCCCGATCCACACCCAATACCTTCCTTTCTGCTACCATCAGTCACTGCCTCGCACTCACAAACAGTGAGAAGCACATTGAACTTGAAGCATGTCCCTTTTTCACCAGTATCCTTCTCCACAATTTCAATATCTCCATGCATCAAACGCACCTAAAGAAAATCACAAATCATTTTTGTCATTGAAGGGAAGAGTTTATAACAAGCATGCATTTTCAATGTAAGACTTTTGTACTCTTTGATAACAATTACTATAAAAAACAACAAATCAATGAACTACAATTTAGCACAATGAACAGATGATTCACAACAGTCGGTAGTAAGTAATACTTACCAACGACTGCACAATCCCAAGTCCCAAGCCAGTTCCTCCTTGGCCAATAGCAGTATCTTTGACTTGGACATAGTTCTCAAACACAGACTTGTAATTCTCTTTAGGAATTCCTTTTCCTGTGTCATCCACTTCAAATATAAAATCCATAGATTGCGGATCTCCTTGGATTGAACGTGTGGATTCGACATCACCACGTGCTTCGATTTTGTTACGAAATAAACATGATAAATATTGCTTGAACTCAAATTGGTTGCAAGTGACTGTCGAATTCTGCAATAATCTTGCCTTCCGAGTCCATGCGCGCACAACTATGTGACCCTCATCAGTAAATTTCACAGCATTGCTCAATAAATTACACAGAACTTGTTTGAGTTTACCCCTATCACCTTTCACCCGTGAATATCCCACTATAGAACCATTACAAGGGTCCAACACGAGATCTACACCTTTCTTCGCAGCCACGGGATGGTAAAAGTCAACTACATCTTCTAAGAGATGGAACACATCAAACTCCTCTTCTTCAAGTTGCATTTTTCCTGCCTCTATTTTGCTTGTGTCTAGTATAGAATTCAACAGTCCTAATACAGTACAAAAAGTAAACAAGTTAAGTATGCTATCGTGGGTTGGAAAAACGTCACTAAATCAGGATAGACAACGAAGATAGCAATTTTCTAAATACAATTAACGCTTATAGTAAAGGTACTACTTATCCCCAGCTTGTCATGCATCAAATTTAGTGCTTCCTATACACATATCACTTGTTACTTCCACCCTATAGAAGACCACATTGCATCATATAACCACCTATATCTCACTATTAACACCCTTCCTTACCCATGCTAAAATAAAATCTAGTGTCTTTTTCGTGTTTCATGACTATGTTTTTGTCTTCAAAATAACAAATTAATTTACTATTTACATATCTGTCAACGAGCAATAACATTTCTGAACTATTATATATACAACACTAAGATACCTTGCACATAATGGTGTAATATACAAGGACAAAATCACAGTTAAGCAATTACTTTGACATTTTCAAATTGAAGCTTTACTTATATATGTATGTTATTCTTCAATGCAATCCTTTAATGAAGTTACAAGATAAAATTTGGGTTCTGATAAGGAAATTGTATCTAAGTCATAACATAATCACATAAAGTTAATGTAACACGAATAAGTAATGTTATATACCTAGTAAGTCTTGGGTACAACCATGCATTTGTTTCAAATTGGTCTCCAATTCTGAACCAGGGGCAACCAACTCAGAAGATATGTCTATCAAACCGGTGATGCCTGCGAGAGAAGCACGAACATCATGGCTGGCACTTGCAAAAGCGGCACTCTTATTCATATTCATTTTCTCAGCTTGTTGGGTGGCTTCACACTGTTTGATTAGTGACGCACACAGATGCATTTCTCGTCTCAAGGCTGTACAGGTAACATATAGAAAACTGAAGAAAGCAATAAATATTGTAACCATCGTTGCCACAAACAATATCAATCCCTTTTTCTTGTAATTCCGATCAATGCTCGCATAGCCATCTTTCGGGACAGCCATCACATACACCTGAAACATGAGTACAACAATAAACACCATATTGTTTAAAATGATATATTAACTATTGTCATTAAAAACAAATTATGAAGTCCACGTAAACATGACAGATGTAACGAGAAATCAGAATCCTATCATGGAAGATATTAGTTGTATTTTTAAAAATTGAAATTAATCTATGACGAATAGCTCCATATGTGATTCAATAAACATATACAAATATAAAAACATACCGATTCTATTCCCATTATATCGATGGTGTGGCAGTGAATTGAATAGGCAGTATCCCGAATAATGAAACTAGAAGCAGCAGCTTCATCCTTGCATGAGACAGTGCCCTCATTACTTGTGGAATCACTGTTTGCATTCACTGATTGGAACAAAACTGTATCATCAGAAATTACCAAATGGGTAAGTTGAATCCCTCCCACAAGAACTTTTCCATCTTTGGTAGCTAAATAGGACATTGTGCCATGTTGTTGGTCAATGCGAGTGACAAAATCAGTTATTTTTCCTGCTGAAAATCCAAGAGAGATCACTCCTTTTCTCATGATTCTGGCTGAACTGAGGAACAAAAGATCATCATTGCCCCACTTGGTTCCCAATGAGGAAAACCCACTTGACATGTTAAGTGCTTCCTCTATCCAACTTGCATTCATAAAGGGGTTAGATACTATATTTGTGGCTTTCCCATGAACTTCTCCGGTTTCACGATTCACAGGTTGAATGTAGGTTATATTGGAGGCACCCCAAGTAGATGATGAGTTGGAGTACATAGCTAGAGCATCATCATTATCAGTGTAGTACGAGAAAAAGAGACCTTCCACCCCTATGTATGAGATTTCCACCAAGTATGGAACCATCTCAAATGCTTGAAACAATAAGGGAGCCACCTGTAATATACAAAACAAAAAGTTCAAACCACAACAAAATTGTATATCAAACACTTGTTTAATATGAAAATGATAACTCTAATAGATTAATATTATACATATTATATTTGGTTACCTAAAATTAACAAAACATACATAACTTTCCAAATAATATTTATTAATAATTTTGACTATTTATATATGATTTTACAGGTTAGACCCGCATTTTGACTACATCTTTGTCGCCAGTGTAGAATATCGAAACTCAAATCCAACTTTATTTACCCATATTTATCTTCAACATCTTTTTATTAAATGTTTTATTTAAATATAAAAAAAACATTTATTCTCTTTCTTCTCTAATAAACTATAATACTAATAGGAAGAGGAGTATTTTAACATGTGAAGTTCAGTCGGATTGGTTTTAAATTTATGTGATTAAATTTTAAAATAAACAAGTTAAAATACTTAAATATATCAAATTCGATTGTCATTTTCTTAGTTTTCTATTTCATGCTTATTTATTTATATTTTTAAAAATATTTCTTAATATAAAATTTATTTATAATAAAAGCTAGACAAAATTGTAATTTTTATAATTAAATCATTATTTTTGTCCACAGACTTTTACTTTTTAATAAAGGTATCATCAGGCCCAAGCCCATCCAAAATTTGGATGCATTGGATACCATTCTTTAACTGTCATTGAATAAAACTGTTACAATTTGTTTTCAAAAAGACTATGCATTTGGATGCATTGGATACCATTTTTTCACGCAGTCATAATTACTACAAAATGATAATATTATTATGGTGTGTTTCAAGAAATTGATAATTAAAAAAAAAAGAATATTGAGATTGATGGATCGGACGAATTTTGAATTGATAAATTCGAAATATATAAAATATTATATTTTTTTTGTTTGAGATTTGGTTCCTGCATCACGAAAGGTAGAATATTTTATAAACGGTTTACAAATTAATTAAAATTGTTTACATATTAATTAAAATTATCTTATATAAATATTTTCTTAATTTTAATTTATATTTTAATCTCATAATAAAATATATTACTAAACAATTTTTAATAAAGCTTCTTTCAGAAATGTTGTAGTATATGTAACAGTCAACACAAATCACAATAACACATGTTAGCTGTCAACAATTATTACTGGGATGTTCAATGAGGAAGGTAACTCTCATTTATTCAATTCGGAATATCTATCTGAAAATTTCTCGGATTTAACCAATTAAATTTCAGGAGTTTTTAATAAAATTTCATATTTATTATTTTGAAAATTTCTTAATTCATTAATATGAAATTTTAGAAATTATTTTTTAATGAAATTTCTATTTCGAAACTTAATTCAAAATTTTTACAAAATTATTATGTATTCCAAATTTGTCAGTTTCCGATTATCTAGAACATTCTAAAATATTTTTCTAAATTATCAATTCGTTTTATATAATATTGTCTTCTATAAATATAGAAAAAATTTATGGAGGTAACTGGAGAAGAATGAGCATGTAAAAAAATACTCACCAAAAATAATTAATTAAAGGCAGTTTCTTACTGTATTATCAATTAGTTTGGATTTTTTTTTTTACAATTCACAAATAACATCATTCTATCAATATAATATAACTAACACCATTTTTAGATTTTTTCAGTAATATGCTATTAAATTTATAATACAGAAATAACATCATTCTATCAATATTTACCTTATTACAAAATTTTCAACTTCACTAATTAATATAATTTTTAAAATAAAATAATATTTATTAAATATAATAATTAAATATAAATATATATTTTTTATAGAAAATAAATACATAAATATTATATATATATTTAAAAATTTTTATTTATATAATTATATGAAATAAATATAAATATATTTTTTATATATAATTATATAATTATATATAAAAATATATAAAAATATATTAATAATATAATAAAATATATTTATTAAATTGTATTATATTTATAAAAATATAAATAAATATTTAAACATTATATATATATATATTAAATATATTTGTTTTTACTATATTTATAAAAATATATTAATAATATAATTATATAAATATATTTTTATGTTATTTTAAAAAATATATTTATATTTATTTCATATAATTATGTAAATAAATTTTTTTAAATATATATAATATTTATATATTTTCTTTCTATAAAAGATATATATTTATATTTAATAAATATTATTTTATTTTAAAAATTATATTAATTAGTGAAGTTGAAGATTGTGTAATAAGGTAAATATTGAGAGAATGATGTTATTTATGTATTATAAATTTAATAGCATGCTACTGAAAAAAATATGAAAATAGTACTAGTCAGATAAATATTGATAGAACGATATTATTTCTGAATTATAAATTTAATAGCATGTGAAGAAAAAAATCGTTAGTTCCTATATATATATATATATATATATATATATATATATATTTTGTAATTCAGAATACTATATCTGTGTATTTCATGAAATTAATACTTTATAAAATTATTTAGGAAATCTGGGTGAATCTAAAAAGTTGTAGGTAGGTGGATTCAAAATATATAACATTTTTTATTTATTTTTGGATTAAACAATTTAAAATAAATAAAATTTATACTTTTTTAAAATTTAAGAATAATAAATATATGAAATTCTAGATTAATGATTATAAAAAGTTTTAGAAATAGCGAATGTGGAAATTTCCTTAATAAAGGATTAGGAATGATGGTTGATAAAAAAATTTAAATTGATCCAATGTCAATAACTTATATTTTATTATTTTTCATTTTATCCCAGGTATTTCTTATTTTATATAAAATAAATAATTTTTTATAATAATATTTAAAAATACTATTATTTTAAATTATATAAAAATACTTTGTGTTGACTAAGGATGATGGGTGGGTGGATTATTTTTGATGAGAAATAACCTAAAGTGGGGATAGTAGTAAGGATAATGCTAATTTGTGTATTGAAAGTTACGGTGGTATTAAGGAAAATGCCAATTTGTCCATTGTAGACTTTTATAATAAAATAATATTATTATATTATATATATACACGTAATAGAACCTCTTATCAAATTATTTATTTAACTGAAACTCTTTTATTATTATACTTGGAATTAGGTTTCTTGTAAACCGAATTCTAATTTTAAACTTACAATTTTTCTTAAATAAAAAATTAAATAAAATATATGATTAAAAATAATAAAATTAATATTAAAAATAAAATTTTAATTTTAAATTTTAAATAATATTTATATAAAAATAATATATTATTTAAATATATTCAAATAATTATTAAAAATATTAATTAATAATTTTTATTATATTTTTTATATTTTTTTTAATTTTTGAATAGGAAATTTAAAATTTATATATTTTTTTATTATATGAATTATTTAAGTTATAATTTTTGAAAAAAATAGAATAAATAAAAATTTAATTTAGGTAATATATTAAAAAAATAAATATTATATTAAAAAATTCATGCTAAAATTATTTTTTTAAATAATAAAGTAAAAATATTATTTAATTAGTTAAAATTATTATTATCAATATAAAATAAACTTAAAAATAAAAAATAATAAAAATTGACAGAATTTAATGTATAATATTAAAAATAACATAATCATTGATAATAAAAATTGAAAAATAAAGTTATTGGCAATAATGTTAAGAAAATTTTAATTTCAAAAGTGATTTTGTCGATGTGGTTGTTTTTGAATTTCAAGAGAAATTGGTGGAGAATTTTCTTCTTCATAAACCTCTATTATTTTCACTCTATAAAAATCTTTCTACCTTTATTATTTTTCTTTAATATCATATTCTATAATTTTTATTTTGCTACTAATAACATATTTTTAATTTTACTTTTAATATTTTATATATTAAATTTATCAATTTTTTTCTAAAATTATAAATTAAATAATTCATATAATAAAAAAATATATAAATTTTAAATTTCCTATTCAAAAATTAAAAAAATATATAAAAAATATAATAAAAATTTATTATTTAATATTTTTAATAATTATTTAAATAATTTAATATATATTTAAATAATATATTATTTTTATTATTTTTTATATAAATATTATTTAAATTTTAAATTTTATTTTTAATATTAATTTTATTATTTTTAATTATATATTTTATTTACAAAAGGTGGTAAGTTTAAAATTAGAATTCGGTTTACGAGAAACCAAATTTCAAGTACAACACTAAAAAAATGTTCAGTTAAGTAAATAAATAATTTTATGAGAGATTATGTTAAATAAATAATTTCATGAGAGATTCTATTACGTATATATATAATATAACAATATTATTTTAGTAAAAAAGTCGTATATTGTATTCCTACCAGTGTATACGTGATGATATTTTATTTCCTACTCCATTATAATTTGGTACCCATGCCTCTGCACTTGATCTTTTTCATCCATTATGTATTTTACTTTTTATATAATAATAATAATAATAATAATAATAATAATAATAATAATAATAATCCTTAGAAAAAAAGTAATTTTATGTAATTTTAAATAATAATATATATTAAATATAGAGAAAGTTATATTTTTAATTAATTTTTATGTCATCATTTATAATATTACTTTTTATTAAATATATCCTTATAAATAAATTTTTTATATCAGTTAAGAGAAAAAATAATAAAGAAAAAATTTATTTTAATATTATATATATTGAAGAAAAAAAAAGTAAAATACATCAAAAATATCAGAAAAATATATCGTGAAAAAGAAGTATAATAAAATTAAAAAATATTTTGAAAATTTTAATAATAGTAATTTTAAATAATAAATAATGATAATAATTTTTAATTATAATAAATATTGATAATAATATAATTTTAAATAAAAATAATAATAAATACGTAGTGAATAGAGGGTTTAAGTTTTCCTTTACTTTTTTAAAAAAATATTTTGTAAAATATATACTTAAAGTTATAAATTGATTCATCAGTTCAACTAATTAAAAATTAGTATTTATTTTGAAATAGCTTAATTTTAATTAAATCGAAACAATATAAAAAAAAATGGTTGTATTTTTTTAATAAAGTTAAAATTAATTTTTTAATATATTTTTTATAAAATATATTATTTTTTTCGGTTAATTTTAAATAATAATTCAATTATTAGTCCAATTTTAAAATTATTGTTTAAAACACAGAAGAAGATAACTAACCTTGCTCTTAATGTGAGAGAAGGAGACATTGGTAGTACTATGAAGGTCTGAACTCAGAAATCTAGCCATGTTTGTTGATGATGATTTCATGGGCCGTAGCAGTTGAGCCCACTGCTCAATTTCAGCTTCCAATTCGGACACCCTCTTTCTTGACTTCAACAAATTCACTTGTTTTTCCATTCGTATCACCGTCACATACCAGCATGGCGTCAGAAATATCAGAATTACCAACGCCCCATATGCCTATAACATACAGAAACATACCCTCCCATTAAATGAATCAACCATTTTATATTTTAAACAAATGTCTTTTTTTATTTTATTTTTTCATAACTTGATACATTTACATTCTTTTCTCTATTTTGTCATGAATCAATTTTAATGAAAATTATCAAGAAAATAAGAGATTAGGAATCATAAAATGCATATATCTCCTTCATTAACCTTGATGCTTTACGCCATGAAAATTATAACAAACAAAACATCAAAATAATATATATATTAATAAAAATACCAGTAGGATCACGAAAGATGAAGCTCTCAAGGCCATTGATAAATGGAGATTCTTTGAGTCTTCTGAATATGTTCACAAGCTTCTGAGTCTATGTCTGCATTGGAAACTCAATAAACTCATATAGATCGAGATTTGATATACTGAATAATGAAAATACTCCATCATTTTTAAAAAAGGTAAATTTCGCAATAAGAATGAAATATCTTCCAAAATATTTGATATTCTCTGCATAATATAATATATTCTCTATAATAAAAGCTTAATATTTTTCACTATTGCATCTACCAAAAAATAATTCAATTTAATTTCATTTATACTAATGATCAAATTGCTCAATTGTTTTTAACAAATATTTAAATACAGAATCAAACAATAAAAAAAACTTTTACTTATTTGATTTTTCTTTTTATTTATTGCATCTGATCTACTGTTATAAATATGGATCATCTCAGGATTACGAGGAGAAAATCCTTTTGTGAAACAAAAATTAATAACACAAAAATACTATGCATTAACCTGAAATTGAAAAGGGGTGTATTATATTTAATTAATTAATTATCTCTGATCATATGGAGACTCAATCTATTTTTTCTGCTGAATGAGCTGGAAGCATGGAACTGATTAGCATTAGAGAAATTTCTCCACTAGTTTTAATTTTTTTTTTAATGACAAACATTATCAAACTCTTCATCAAAACCTAAATTCAACTAACTTAATTTCATTACCTTTTTCAATTTTATACATAATTATCACTGAGTGTTTTTATATATACTACAATCTATACAAAAGGTAGTAATTCTTAATATTTTAATCAAGGATACTGGAAATAATAGGAAATGAAATATATGTTCTTAAAGCAATTAAATAATTGTGAGTAAATATTGCATTACAATTTTATACATGGATTTTGGAAATGTGGTTTCCCTAATACTGGAAAAGGCTAGTTTATTGCTTAAATATTTGTGAGTAAATTTAAATCTGGGGGATTTATTATTTTTAAAATATAGTAATAAAAAAGTAATGTAATATATATATATATATATATATATATATATATATATATATATATATATATATATATATATATATATATAATGTAATATAATTTTCGTAATAATAACATATTTTAACAAAAATTATGTTTTTTCAAGTAATTTGTAGTTTGATAAACACACGCTAGCAAGTCATCTTAATATAGCACATATAATTTGATGTATAAGTAAAATATTAAACAATAAAAAATATTTATAAACAAGCAAAAAGTTGGGTGAGTTTTATTAGTACTAGCAGATTATCTAAATACTGTACATGTAATTTTTATGTTCAAGTAAAATATTAAACAAATATATATATATATATATATATATATATATATATATATATATATATATATATATATATATATATTAACAAAAGTTGGGTGAGTTTTATTAGGATAGCTTTTATCGTTATAAACACAAATACGAAATGTACAAACAATAGAAACTTGGTTTTTCATCAAATAAAAATATTAAAATAAGATGTATAATAATAAAAATCAATATTTTAATCTTAGAGATGAAAAATAATTTAAAATAAAATAAATATTTTAAAATAGTAATTATTATAAATAAATAGATATAATTTACATAAAAATTGTGTGCATTTTATTTTATATTTATCAACTAGGTCAATATGTATTCAATCATCTAGTGTATTGTTTATTTATATTTTTTTCCTTCCCTATCATCTATTAAATTTATAATTCATAAATAATATTATTATATCAATATTTATTATTCTATCAATATTTACCTGATTAGCACTATTATTTAAATAGTTGGAATTCGGTTTCCAAGAGATCGAATTCCAACCTCACTAATTAATATAATTTTTAAAGTAAAATAATATTTATTAAATATAATAATTAAATATATATATATATATATTTAATTTTTTATTTATATAATTATATGAAATAAATATAAATATTTTTCTTAAATAACATAAAAATATATTTATATAATTATATTATTAATATATTTTTATAAATATAGTAAAAACAAATATATTTAATATATATAATATTTAAATATTTATTTATATTTTTATAAATATAATAAAATTTAATAAATATATATTTATATCTTTCTATATAACATTTTTACATAAATAAATTATATATATTATTTAAATATATTTTTAATATAAAATAATTTTAATAAGTAAAAATAATATTTTTATAGAAATATATAAATATTTTTATTATATTTATATATTTTAATATATTTTTACTATATTTATAAAAAATATATTAATAATATAATTATATAAATATATTTTTATGTTATTTAAAAAAATATATTTATATTTATTATATATAATTATATAAATAAAAAATATCTATATATAATATTTATTTTATATAATATATATTTATATTTAATTATTATATTTAATAAATATTATTTTATTTAGCGAGGTTAGAATTTCGTTAAATCCGAATTTGAATGTAAAAATAATACTAAGATAAATATTCATAAAATAATATTATTTTTAAATTATAAATTTAATAACATACGGTAAAAAAACGTTTACTTACTACCAATTATAATAAAATAGAAGAAACAGTAAAATGAGAGAGAAAAAATAACATAAGTCTCCCTTAAAAATGGTAAAAACCAAATTAATGTGTATGATTTATCAAAAAACGTATCTATATACAGGTATCAAAGCATCTTTTTATGATCATAAATCTGTTTCCTTAAGTATTAATTGTTGAGTCCAACCATACCAATTAGAAAAAAAAAACATTAATTACTTTCTTTTCTTTGTCTCAAGTTTGAAAGAGGGAATAGTATGTTTATCTTTATTATTTAATTTTTAATCTAATTTATCTAACAATTATATTAAGATAAATAAATAATAAAAATAATGAATAACCCGTTTTTACATAGAAATAAAGGTGTTATATATATTATTTAGATATTGATAATATATTAAGATCTCACTCCATTATTTATTATTATTATTATTATTATTATTATTATTATTATTATTATTTTAAGTTTAAGAGAATATTTATTAATTTCTTCTTATTGATATTTTTAATTAATTTACATATATATATATATATATATAGTAATAAAAAAGTAAAATATGAAGTTTCTTAAATATTTTATTAAAATTAAGAAATATTATTATATATATATATATTTTTAATTTTTCATAAAAACTTTAAAAGATGGATAAAAAATATAGTATTAATACTTAATTCTTGTGTTTCGATTTGTATGAATATTATGTATAAAGAAATGGTACACTATTTTAAAGAAGGAAAATAATATTTTGATAATATTTTTTTTCTTATAGGACTGACAATTCTATTATAATAATAATAATAATAATAATAATAATAATAATAATAATAATTTTATATTACACTTTTTTATTATAAAGAGAATTATAAGTAATTGCAAGTGAAAAAACGACAATATATTATTATTCTTTAAAGATATATATTTTTGAAAACTTTTAAACTCTAAAAGACGCGGACTAAAAGAAAAACAAATGTCATTGAAGCATTATGTAAAGATTGACACTTGTTGAACTAAAAATAATAATTTCAATGGAAAAAAAGATGAAAAAACACCGAAGTCACAACAATTAAGTTTTCCAGTTTAACAAGCTAGCAGAGTTTATTCAGTTGCATAATGTTCCAAGTATCATGTGCGAGAGTTGGTTGCATCTTATATGTTATGTTTCAGCATTCTATCTTTCTCAATATATTTTTGATGGTGACTGCATCGTATCAGGTTCTCCTAATATCATTGGTGGCTCTACCTACAAGAGCTTGTGCTGGGATCTCAATTTCTGATGGACAGAGACAAAGAGAAGGGGTGGCATGGTGGGCCATGACCACCCAAACTTTAGTTATTTTCAAAATTAAAATATCATTTTGTTATTTTTTTAGTTAATGGTTAAATGATATTTAAAAATTTATTAATATTTTTTAATTAATAAACATTTATTAAAAATAATTTTATTTAAAATTAAGAATGAATAAAAGTCTTAATATGGATTTTTTTAAATTCGACTTCTCATTAATTAAAATTTTAACACCATGAAAATAACACATACCTTTGTTTTTATGGGATTGAAGGGTTATGTTCTTCTATCTAATGTTTTCATATTTTGTGATTGATTTTCTCACTTCTCACCTCACCATTTCTTTTGTAATACAAGTTAGCAATACAAAATCATTTAATATACAAGTTGATTTTTTAAGTTTTCTTTCAATTAAATGTCAACTAAAAGATTCGCATTCTTCCTAATAAAACAAGTAGCAATCTGAATTATTTTATTAGGACAAAAACTACCATCCCAACCTTAAGAAATTTTGCATGCGAAAACCTTATTGAATTTATGAAGGAAATAATATTTTTATACTTCTTCAATATTTTTGAAAGATAAGGAGATTTTCATCGAAACTCAATTAACCATACAAGAATATTTAATTTTTCAAAAAATCTTTAATTTATAAATTATCAAAATTTCTCATTTTTATTCCATTTGAGATTTCAATTCATATTTAGATTTATTGGGTTGAACTCTCCTATGTATCTAAAAAGTTCAAATTTGTCAAGTAGGGGATATGATAGTAGGAAATATAAGTAGAAGGCGAGTG